CTGCCAACAGAGGAACGGTGATTTCAAGATCACCAAGGTAGAGGGCTCCCACGTCGACTGTGCTTGGGGGCGGGGGTACAAGCTCCGCAGTTGCGCAACCCCGGGTGGACCAGTTGGTACAGGCCAACCCCAAGATCGCCGGTCCCGCGATCAAGAGTACCTTTAAGACCGTGGGATTCACCGTCTCCGATCGTCAGTCTCAGAGAGCGAGGAAGCACAGGGTGGATTTGCCGACTGCCGGCACCACTTCCCCTCTTTCATGGACCGGCACGGGGCGGCAAGCTCACCTGCTACGGCGACCTTCTCGGCCTGGCGGCTGGAGAATACTTGCCCTGCGGTAACGGGCGCTATCGTGGTGGACAAACCGCCGCCGCCGCCGCACCTGCGCTGCCACTCGCTCCTTCCATGATAGATGTCAAGGGCGTGCCTGTGTGTGCTGGTCTTGCCTGTCCCCTCCGCCCTCTCTGCGGGCGCGAGCTCGCCGCCAACACAGCGCCACACATTGGCACATACATATGCATGTCAACCATGCTGGATAGGTCTCGCTTTCATAGCGTGACCCGTGCATCTCGCATATAGACTGCAGCAAGCAGCAGTCCACGGNGTATACCCTTCGCCTTCTCGGACGCACCGGGGTGAAATTGGGCGCTGACCAATGATATGAGTGCATTTACTGCTGTTGATGACTGTACCGAGGTGATTCGCTTCTCGACCAGGGTATACCCTATTGTGTCGCTTCCCCCCCCAAAAAAAAAACGCGGTGCATCACTCACCACACCGCGGAGGAACATGAGCCACCTGGGCAGCAGCTCCTCGAACTTATCGTTGATGAAAACGCGCTTCACGTAGAGGCGCATGTTGCGGCTGGTCTCGTCGAACATGTTGCGGCTCAGCTCGTAGGGCAGCACGCTAGGCACGAAGAGGAGCGCGCGGAACTCGACCTGGCCCTCGAGCGAGAAGTGCGTGTGGGCTGCCACCTCGTCCCACGCCTTGAAGGTCGACTTGTAGAACTCCGAGTACTCCTCTTCCTTCACCTCGCGGGGGCTCCGCATCCAGATAGGCTTCATCTTGTTCATGCGCTGCAAAAGAGCAAACCCAAAAAAGAAAAAGAAAAAATGAGGACGAAAACAACATATGAACGACGACCATGACGACAGAGCACGTTTGAAGGTTTGCTGCTTGACCTCAGTCTACCGAATGGCATCTGATAGCAGGAGAGTGTGCTGGCGCCCCGCGAGGCTTTCGAAGGCTTTCAAAGGCTTCCACCGCCGGTGCTTGGAAGAAGAAGCGAGGAGCACCAAGTAGCGAACTCGACGGGAGCCAAAGGACCAACTAGCGAGTCTCTTGCAAACTCAACCGCACAGCTTTGAGGGTAGTCCAGAAAACCAGAAAATCAACGCCCACCCACCGCACAAAATAGCAGTAATAGAGCTGGAAAAAAAGAGCGGACTCCAGAACTGCCACCTGCACCTACACCTGAAATCTCTCGATAAGACAAAGACACCAATATTAGCAGAAAATCAATGCGTACCACGCACATGTATCAGAACAAAAATAAACGAAAAACACATAGCACCACGTACAAAACCCCAAAAAACAACAATCACCCAGAGAACGAACCTCCCACTGCATGGCGGTGCGCGTCACGGTCTTCATCTTGGGCTCCTCGCCCTCAGCCACCTCGACCGAAGTATCGGGCACTTGGTCGTAGGAGGTCTTCTCCGCCCACACCTCGATGGGGAATGAGATGAACTCCGAGTAGCGGGTGCTGAGTTCCTTGATCTACCGCAACAATTTGACCAACGGTGTGGAGGGTGGGCGGTTGTTCATGAACTCCAAAGCTCACTGCTGCTATTGTTGATCGGCGTGGAAAAGTTGCTAAACGTGTGTAGTATCGAGATAAACCAGACAACATGAATTACAGTCAAACACACTCGCACTTGCATCTCAAGCGTTCAGAACCAGAGATTTCTAGCCCACGTCACGAATTTCTTACGTGCAGGCATGCCAAGCATAGGAGTTACTCTTCGAACAACGAAACTACCACGGAGTCACCGGTTGCTTGCGGTACCGGTCGAGCACCAACCATGGCTCACCTTAAAGTCGTCCAGGTACTCCTCGCTGTCTTCCTTCAGGTGGAGCACGATGCGGGTTCCGCTGCCCTCGAGCGGGTCGGTCTCGTCCTCCTTGATCGAGTACGAGTTGCTCTGCTGCGACTCCCACTTGTACTGCAACCGGGAGGGGAGGGGGTTGGCGTTCGTTTCGGCAAAGGCAGGAGGGTCTTCACTATTTTAGCGACGCAGCACTTGCCACGTTGTTGGTGACAGCGAAACTAATTCTGAATCCGCACGCAACGAGGAGGACATGGAATACCGACAATGTATATATATATGCCCGTCGTGCAAAAATCACGCAATAAAATGCACCCACAACGACAAAAAGAACGGCAGTGAAAACATGGGGGGAAAAGGCGGCCTTTACCAAAATTAGTACATACCGCGAGAGTAAACAGCAGCCAGCCACTGCTACATACGATACTGCTGCGTGGCACACATCGGGGCACACCGTGCTTATGCCGTGAAGCGTTTACCTGCGGGGCATCGGGAGTCTGGCAGCTCCTGGTATACACCGTGACCTTGTCCGCCACAAGGAACGCGGAGTAGAAACCCACACCGAACTGGCCGATCAAAGACACGTCTGTTTCGCCCTGAAGGTGCACCAGACACGTGTACGGCAAAAGAGCAGCAGCAAGGCCAGGTGTGGAAGGGGGTTGGGACACGGGCTTGAGAAGAGAGGCAACGGAGAAAAGAAGAATAGCTGCTCTGTTTGTCTACCGCCACAACCCGGCGCCTTGGCTTCACACAGAGCGGGCAAGTGTCAACGCTTTGTGTCGTAACAAAATCGCTACTCCTATAATTGAAAAAGCCCGGACACGGACACCACAAGCAGTACAGTATTGGTAGACAGCAGCAGTAGTACTCACAGCCTCGGTCATCATGCATGCAACACTGGACAACAACAGTGGCACAAACACGACTGCGGTTGTAGCAATCGTAGAGGGGCAGCCCATCAGCCTCGAAACTGCTGCTGTTCTTCGCACGTGCACCACACCCCACCGACTTGCACAAGAGTCTTCATGTCCTGCTTACATTCTTGATGGCTTCCATGAAGTTGGCCGTTCCCGACTCGGCGATTCGTCCGAGATTGTTCTTGAGCTCGTCCTTGGTCATACCCACACCGGAGTCCTCGATGATCAGAGTCTTGGCGTCCTGGAAGAACAGCATCATGACAGCAGTCCGCAGGCGGCACACGAACAAAGCAGGGATCTGTCACGCTACCGCTTATCCTCGTGCCAAAAGGCGGTGTGACAACACAAAACAACAGTCCTAGGTGTTGGGCTATTGATTCAAGATGATGTGCTACCCTAGGGAGGATACCGACGTAGCACGCATTGCAGGCGGAGAGCGCGTAGGCAACAACAAGTCACATCAAGTTAGTGAAGTAGAGACGTTGTTGTGCGTGTGTCAGCGTGAACATGTTCCGCCTCGTGTTTTTCGTCCAGAAATTACACATGATTCAGCCAGCTTCTTCCACGTCATGTCCACCAGATGTGTAGATTTCCATCTTTTCTGGACATGTCATGCATGTCATGGGAAAGCCAATTATCACCAGGGGAACAACAGGTTAAACAGGTTGCACCTGAGAGCCAGCACGCCACGCACGTCATGGCGGAGAGCTGCATGCGAGCTGCCCTTGTGGTGACCTGTACGAGAGGTTTGCTTCAACACCGCACACGCGTCAACCGCACAGACCCAGCAGCGGAAACGCCCTCCCAACCGTCCATCCTTTGTCATGTCCAACCAAGTTTTTCAAGCACACAACACAGCGTCCCGCCCCAAAGACGAGGCCGACACCGTCCCGTGCGTTCGGGTCCATTCGTGTTGTGGACGCGAACCTCTTGCTGCGTGTCGGCCAGCAACCCACGCGAGACCTGCAACTACAACCGCAGCCAAAGCCGGCTCGCTCTCGCGGGGCCTCTCGACGGCCGCCACGCAAGATCGACTTGCGACTTCAAAAATGTTTCAGCCAAAGCCGCCGCCTCAACACAAATCTCACGAGACAGCAGCACCGAGCAACAACCAACACCCCAGAGGGAGCGCGGAGAGAGCCTTCGAGTATAAACTGCAGCGGATGACTGACTGACTGACCTTGTCCGCGCGGACGCGGATGCGGTACTCCGGGTCGTCATCGGATCCTCCCTCGTCCGCGCCCGCGTCGGTGACCGCGAGGAACCTCTTCTTGTCGCACGCGTCCGCGGCGTTCGAGATGAGCTCCCTGAGGAACACGTCCCGGTTGGAGTACAGAGAGTTGATGATGATGTCCATCACGCGCCCCACCTCCGCCTGGAACTCGAAGCGCTCCTCGCCGTCCTCTATCGCGGCCTCCTCGGTCGCCTCCGCCGTCTCCGCCATCCGCAGGGCAGCCACGCGGCGGCCGGCTACGCCTTGCCGTCGGCCGGTTACCCATGCGCTTGCCTGCTGCAAGCTCGGCACGGGGTCGGAGCTCTGCGACAACGCGCGGCGACTGGAGAGGCTGGCGGTGCTGGTGGTGGTGGTGCGGGGGCGCACTACGCCTCCAGTGAAGCCTTGGGTCTGAGCCGCCAGGCTGAGGCCGAAGAGAGCGGCACACGCTCGAGTGGCGGCGGTAGCCATGTTAGTAGCTTGCAGTATGAACAGGGTTTGCCAGAGAGGGTGGTGAAACACCGCCTGGTAATGTGGTCGGTGTAGGGGGGCAAGGCCAGAAGCAGAGGGTGCGTTGCTCTGGAGTAGAATTGCAGTCCTGAGTGACACCACAGCAGAGGCAATGTGACTGCCACGCCATTATTTTTCTAGATTTTCCGGGAGTCCGCGAAATCAACCCGTATATTTGTTGGATCCCCCTTATAGCTCTTCTTGTTCGTGTTGCCCCCCAACCAAAACCCAAACCATCATGGGGCACGCCCGTGGTGCTGTTCGGCGTTGCCTCAGGCTCCTGGAATTGTGTAGACCGGAAGAGGACATTCGTGCCAACAATCACGCGCTAGATTGCTTAGCTTCCTGGTACAAGTCACCACCGTGCTCCGGTAAGGTGGATATAACTCTCGAATTGTTCTGCATTTTGACGGCAGCAACGAGGCACACGATATTTATGTAATAGAGAGCCGAGGAGCGGAGGATCGCGGGTTGTTTACCCAAGATGTCGAGGCTGGGGGCTCTGCTGCTAGTCTGGCTATGCCATCTGCTGGTGGCCGAGGGCCAGGAAAAGGTGTCCATAGCTGTTATTGGCTCTGGGATAGGGGGCTCGGCAGCCTCTTATTTTCTCAGGGAGGCGCTGGACGACGATCTTCAGACCAAAATCGTCGTGTTCGACAGTGCAACCAAGATAGGGGGCAGGACAGCAGTGAGTTGTGGGACTTGCAGTAGGAGCCGAAATCAAACCATTAGACTAGTCGGCGATGACTTTAGACTGCGCGATTGGCCTGATGTCAGTATGTGTTATTGCTGTTGAGGAACAACACTTTCCGCTGCCGCTTTGGCGCTCGCATGCTCCAGATCTCTATGTCCACCACTCTTTGTGAGAGCAGATATGCATACATCCGTGGTCATATGTTCATGGATGCATCCAACCTTCATTCGTCCCTAAAGATCGTGTGTGCCTCACAGCTCCTGTTCGCAGGAGACAGCATCCCAATGCAACTACCGTAGAACAGAGTCAGGGTCCCCAAAGAAGGCGACCTCGAACAGTGCTGGGGCCCGGTGTACAGTAGGTCGACGTCAAGTCGGTCGTCACCGGCCTTACCGGCCATACTCCAACCTACGTATACACCATTCGCCGGGACCCCTCACCAGGGCGGTTTATCCAGATAGGCACTACACCGCCTTTCCGAGAGACCCTGACTCTGGTGCATTCACCATTTGGCCAACAGGATATGGCGTAGGTAGAACAGGAGAGAGCAGCGGCGACAGACGGATGAATGGGCTCGGCGGCATGACAACGAGAATAACGAACGACACCTTTCGAGGCATGTCCACGGCCACCGAACGGAACATCCCCAGTGCTACAAGTGATTCGGTGCTGTCGACACCCAACAACGCTTGCTCGAAGCGGTGTGTAGCTGGTGGAGCTAGGTGCTTGCGGTCCGAAGGGATTGGCCCGGGGTAGCCCCTACGAGTTTGTGGAGGCGCCGACTCCGGGAGATCGGAAACGGTCGGCGTTTTCAGGGTGCATCAAGGTTGAACTTTTCGACATTTCGCAACTCCAGAAACGCTCATGGAATCAGTGCACTTCCGTTTTCACCCTTTTTCTGTCTGCCATTGCTTTTTGTTTTTTTGGCTTCGTGTTGCTCAACCGTTTGACTGCTGTGGTGGTCCAAACTGTCTTGACTTCCCGGTACGCGGATGGCAGCACTACGTGCACGACGGGAAGGTGCTCGAGAGTGGCGCCTCCGTCATCTACACAGGCAACGCCCACCTGTTCAACCTCACCGAGCGCGTCCACCTGAACAAGCTTGACCCCAGCAAGCAGGAAGGGCCGAACACGGGACTGTGGGACGGAGAACGGTTTGTCCTCAAGACGACCAGTTCGGGCATAGCCAACCTCGCTCGCATGGTGTGGCGATACGGAACGTGAGGTCCTTTCGTGGGCATAGGGCTGGTTGTTCCTCACACCCAGCATTGATAAGACACAAGATATTCTCGCGGCAGGTTTCGGATGAGGTATTGCATGCGTGCGGCACAGCAGGTACACTAAATAGTAGCCGCGGTAATGGTGATAGCTTCAGTGGGTTCGTGACAGTGATTGGCCGAAGTACCCCGCGCTGCGACAGGCATGATACGCCGTTCGCGCGCATGTTCCATAGACGACACCCGACAGCGCTGAAAAGCGTTAAACTGGCACTTGCACTGTGCAATTTTGCTGCGTGTTCCGTCCCAACACGTTATCCCACAGGTCATTGCTCAAGATGAGATCTATGGTGTATGAGGCCCTAGCAAAGTTCGACCGTATTTATGACCTACAGGCGGACGGCAGGGTGTTCGAGACGCCGGAAGACCTGTGGAGTGAGTGCCTTGCATGCTGCTGTGTTCCTTTTTAGCTCATCTCCAGACACCGAGGCCTCCTGCACAAGGGGGCAGGGGGCCGGGGGTGATATCAGGTATCGCTGAGTGCTGCAGCTCTGGCACGCATCGCCCTGCTGGAGAAGCGTTTCGGATGTTGTTTGGAAACAGTAGTCTTTCTCGCTTCTGGGGCCGCTACAACGCCACCCGTTTTCGTGTGATCAACTTGTTTGCAGGCTGTTGATTTCTTGTTGCTCCGTTGTCCTCGTGTCAGTGCAGTAAGCGATTTGCGTCACAGCGCCAGCCAGACCCAACCAAGGACCAAGGCGCTCGATCGCGTCGAGTTTGCCGACGGTCGACATCATCAACCTCCACAAGTGCAACTACACGACCGATGGAGGATACACCTCTCGTTGCGAGCTGCCAATCTCGAAAACAAGTTCACACAGGCGGGCCTGTTGAGGCTATTGCCCGACGTGTCTACGTTAAGCAGCAACGTTTTCAACCCTCGCTGTTGTAGAATCTGGAGGGACCGTTGTTTTGTGACTGTGCGCTGTTTTTGCAGGCGAGGTAGGTCTTCTCGGTCTAGCACGGATGACCATAGCGGAGTACTTCGAACAGCGGCTCGGGCGGGCAGGGTCGCTGGTGGAGGTTGAGCTAGCACACGCCGCCAACAGGGTGAACTACAACCAGGTCGGTGCGTTTTTTCGAAGGGTGTTCGAACCGGCGGTGCTAGAAAAAGGGCGGTTAGAGGTATTTAGTCTACGGCTACTTTAACCGGAGATAGTTTCAAGCCGAGATTGGAGGGACCCTCGCCGTTTGTTGTTGTAGTTGAAATGAAGGTATTCGGGACCACCCTCTGGAGAAAAGCCAGTCGTCACACTCGATTACCCCATTTCAGTTGAAAATACATACGAAGTACTTCCTTAACAGCAATGGCAGCAGAGCTGTGCTTTCCCACAGCTACGTCATCGGCACAATCCCAACACAAGGAGGCGAGCAAACCCGTTCTTTAACTGTTGTCTTTTCCCCTCATCAGGGCAACGGTCTCAACGCGCTCGCGGGTGTCGTCAGTCTCTGCCCGGCCGTCACCGGAGACCTGTTCAGCGTGGAAGGGGGAAACGCCCGCCTTTCAGAGGTAGGATAGATCAAACCGCTTGTCAAACACAGGGATGTCGTCCAATTAACTAGAGAGAGAGAGAGAGAGAGAGAGAGAGAGAGAGAGGTGCTAGAAGAAACCAGAAGAGTTGCGAGGAAGCTGCACGTTGTCCCAGAACCTGGAGCATGCTCCTTTGAGTCGAAAGTACATCGCGATGCCGTGTCATGGCGTCCTTGTTTCCAAGCGAGAAAGACGCGATGCCATCCGTGCCAAGCAACACTACGTAGCAAGATCACAGCAGACAACACTGACATCTGTCCACCCTACTTGCCGACTCGCCATCACTTCTTGGAGGCGCTCCATCTCCCTGCTTGTGTGTGTATGCCTCTCGCAGGAACTCCTTGGCGTTTCGGCAAGTGAGGTGCGACTCAATACTAGCGTGGCGAGAGTTGTTGGGAGCGCCAAGGGAGGATACATGCTCTACGGTCAGGGTGGAGATACGCTCGGGACGTTTGACGCTGTGGTTATTGCTGCCCCTATCGGGCTGGCGGGCATCTCCCTGGACATGCGTGGAGAGGTAAACATAACCTTCACGACGAGCACTCTTGCCTGTTCCTTGCAACATTTTTGGCGAGGGTCTTGGCCAGTCATGGTATTGGCTTGATGGGGTACTAGTGAATCCAACCTGTTCGCCAAGTTGTGATCACGGGCAATGCTATTTTGAAGTTGGAACCAAAACGTCCGGGCTGTTTTGCCGCACGTTCGAGCAAGAGTTGAAGAACCTTTTTTTCAGGGCTTGCTATCCAAACCGAAGACGCGTGCGCTCGGCCCACCAAGACAAGCAACGGGGTTTCGGCTCTGCACGCTCCGTAGGTCCAAGAATATCCGCAATCATCCCCTTGCTTTTTTCAACCCGTCACGAAAGAGTTTCTAGGAACGCGTACCTTTTTCATCGATGGACCACGGGTACCCTCAATATTCTCTGGCCCGTTTCGCCTCTCCCCGCTCTGCTCGAATTCCGCCGCATGCCACACACCCCACCGGTGGCTGCCTAGGACGGGAGTCCAGAAACCCCGATAGAACCTTTGCCGGTCGTCACATACCAAGAGGTGCACACGACCTTCGTGCGCGGGGTTGTGGATGGCGTGTACTTCGGCCTCGGGAAAGGCGAGGAGGTGCCGAACAGCGTGTTTCTCACCGAGCGGGCGGCCGGCTTAGCGTTCTCGTCCCTTGCGCTCAAGACCTGGGTCGGTGATCCCGCCGATGGCGTTGGTGTTTACAAGCTCTTCTCGAGGTACAACCTGTCGCAGGCTACGTGCGGACAAGGAGGGGGCGGATTCTAAGTTTGGTTAGGTACATCATATGTATTTGACGTTCGGTTCTGTGATGCGCAGCAGAAGGGTCATGTAGTGGTGGATGGTGACTTAAATACTACGTGCCCGCAGTTTCCCTACTCGAAAAGTTTATTTTCGCCGATTTCTGATTGGCTGTCGAAAATCCTGGGGGGGTTGGAGGCGTATCCCACCGTCGGAGTGCAACTTTTTCCAGAGATCTACTTGGCCGTGTACGGGTTGTGGTCTTGTCAGATCCCTAAAGTCCGAATTTTCTCAGCTTCTCAAGGCAGGATTTGTCGTGCTTTTTCTTCGGGCAGTTCCCCCGTTTTTCGGTGCTGATGGAGGTAGTCCAAGTAAACCACCTTGTGCCCATCGATTCAACCAGAACCTGAGTCAATCAGTCTGTCAGAAGCACGAGCGTTCGAAAATGATTGTGACACCAAATCGACATCTTTTTAGCCTGGAGTTATAGGACGCACTGAGTAGCGACTGGAGCGTTTTTTTGTGACGATAACGACAGATTTTTCCCTTCGCTCTCGGCGACCGCCTCTCTCGCTGGTTGGTTCGCAGGAAAGAGCTGTGGACAGGAATGCTGGACTCGTTATTCGTTCAAGGCTCTTGGGAAATCTTGCACCACCGGGAATGGCGCGCGTACCCCGTTCTCAGCCCGAAGAAGGTGAAAATAGGAGGAGGCCGAAGTTTCGGCTACTTTTACTAGTTGGTGTAGACAATTAAGAGGATGGCGGGAGCAGTCTCACTTGCTGCTTGTCGATTTGGCCAGGCCATTCATCACCTATCTCATCTGTCACAAATGACGCCAACCTCTTGGTTGTATATTGGCTACGGATGCCTCGTTTCCCTCTCATCCCGAATCAAGTGTTGAGGCAGCGCACTTCGCCGTCACCGCTGACAAAACTGGCAGTCTCTTTTTGGCATGACGGCAAATCACTCGCGAATTGAAGCTTAACCCGCCACCCATGCCACTGCTTTATTTTTCTCGTTTCGGCCCCGAACACACCTCTGTGTACCGGGCAGGCCTTCACTCGCGCGAAGCTGTTCGCAGGACATCCGGTTTGGTACGTCTCGTCGCTGGAGGAGGGCGTCAGCGCAATGGTGAGCCCAATGTTAGACCTGATGCTACACCGCAGGATTTGTTTAGTTCAAGAGCCAATTGAAGTTTTGCTGTCAGCGAAGATTACGGGGTGATCGCGTTAGTCGCCAGCGGCCATCTAGAGTCGCCGATCACCCTTCCACGGTTATTTCCCACTCCGAATAGTTTTAGCACGGTTTGGAATAGTATTGTCGTATCGCTGCTGTACTTTGAAGCAGCGGCGCCCTATAGTTTGACAGTGCTTGCTCTGGGCCGCACTTGTCCTTGCTGGCTGCTGTTTCTCGACCGCGTCTTCGAATACGTTGTCATAGGCCTGGACCAGTCGGGTGTTGGGTGTGTGATGTCCAGGCCAAAGGCACTGCCACAAACCTACTTGCTAATGAGACGAATGCTCGTAGGCCCATATCAGCTAAGTAATGAAAACCTCAAGCGCCCCCGCCCCTTCGCGTGTTGCCAACGGTTTTGAACATCTCAGGAAGTTGTCGTCATCGCCGCAAAAAATGCCGCTCTCGGCGTAGTGGAGGCTGTGAGATCTAGAAACAGCCAACCAGGTCGTGTACAGGAGGCTATCTTGGCAGCAGATACGGGCAGTGTAGATGCAGCAGCGAGTGCCGAGCTGTGACATGTCGAAAGGGTAACCATTATTTCATACTGGTTCATACATATGGACAGGATCTTTTCAAACGCTGTGCAAGTGAATGTGTGCATCCGGCAATTGAAGCATATGTGTGAATAACTTTACATGTTTCCCGACCTGCTTGTTTCGTACAAGCTGCCCCCGATGTCTCAGTTGTTTGTAGTCCTTAGACAAGAGGCAGGTATTAAACTCTCTAAGTAAGGTTATGCCTGCGGAGAAATCGCAGCTACTAGTTTCGGCGAGTTTGTGTGTGCGAGTGAAATTTCTTGTCAGACCCCACTCGCCGGCTGTGCTCGAATGTGAAATATGACGGGGGCGGGAGATGCAACGGAGAGGCCTGCTGTGGGTGCCGGAAAGATTGGTGGTAGCCTGTTCTCTGCTGACCGGGAATCTCCCAAAAGGGGGAGCAGATTCGACCTCATCCTATTAACAATATTTTGTAACTTTTATGCTCGCTTCGTTCCCATTTCGTCTCAGTCTAGCCCCAAGTACACCGTGACACATAGTAGCTCCTCGAGCTGTCGAGCGATAGTACTTGAGGGCGAAATTCGACCTCATTTTGAAATGGCACGGATGCCACGGTCGCAATCGCCAAATTCTGTTGTAATGTCTCGGAGCCTTGTCTTTGTGCGTATCACACGTATTGCGTACACCAAGGATATCGGGTCGAATGTAAGAGGTATCGGTCAAAAGTGTTCAATTCAGCGTCCTGCGGTTTGTTTCGGGCGCCCAATCAATTTTGGGCGTGTGTGTTTCAACAGGGGCCGGTGAAAATAATGTTTTTTTGTGGAAGTTAAAACTGGTGGGTGAGTTTGTTCTCCTTCCAAGGCGCTACTGCTGTACAAGGCAAAAAATATTTGGAGAGGTGCCGTGTAATTTTTGGTGAATGATACACAAAATTCACAGGCGGTAGGTCTTCGTTCACCGTGTGTGCGAAAATGCCGTTGCGACCTGCAAAAGAACGAATCTCGAAACAGTCCACTTATGTCCGTGGCGTGATGGCAGTCACACTTTCGACTATTTCCAGTCGATGGTTAAAACTACCGCAATCGTTCTTGCGTAGTCGCCCTGTAGTTCTCACTGGGGGGAGGTTCGACAAACATGTACATGTGCGGGAAACAAAGGATTTTATTCAAGTGTGTTTTGGGCGGAAGATTCGTGTTCTCAGAAGTCTACCGCGGGTACATACAGACCGGATGGACGCGTATGTTTCATCAGGCAGGGAAAGTCTCCACCAACTCTGATGTCCATCTAACAACAGGGCTACCAAGATACACGATCTGAAACAATTCCTTGAAGTCAATATCAACTACTTCATACATGCAATCGTGCACGGCAGAGCAGAGAGCAGGCACAAGACAGCTCGATCTGCTTCACCGTTGTTGTCGATCAGCACGAGAAGTGCAACATCGGGACAATCCCTTGTCGGAATTCTGGCATTTTCTTTTTCAAGAGGGTGGTGGGAAGAACCCACCGGGTGTTTTTTGTTTTTTTGGACTCCGAGATCGAAGACACTTTTTTTTTTCGGGTGCATCATCAGCACCACTCGCAAGACTTTTGCTGCACCTGCAGCCTGAACCACTCACAAAATATATCCTTTTCGCAAAAAACATGTACCACTGCTGTTATTCTCCTGTGTGCTCCTGCCTGCAACGCCACTACTACGGAAAACGGCTTGGGCAACTCACATTGAAACAAAACGCGAAACTTTAAAAAGCGGACCTTTCAATGGTTCTAGGCACATGGTACCTCACAACTCTCTTCGTTCAAAAGTGAAGAGACTGCGACACGCAAAAATCGCAATCCATCACCCCGGAGCACGTACTAACCTCCATGCTACACAATGCATACGTGTTGTGCCAACGCCAAAAAACCGAAGGCCTTTCAAAGTTGAACTGACGAAAGGAGACCACGTCTTGCCACCTGCGACGACATCAAGACGGCGCCCTACACCAACTCTTGCGGACTACCAAGTAGAATATACGTGAGGGAGTACGATCTCCACTAATCACCCCATTACGCACAGAATGCAAAAAACTGAACACACAGAAAACGTACAAAAGGGTGCATGAGCGCAGAGGCCTTATCCCCTCGTATCAGTGTTACCGAGAGAGGCTTCTGCCCAAATGCATATAAACGAAAAAATCAAAGCAAGCAACACTGCAGGTAAAACTACCTTTCGTTCTTCCACCGAATTACTCTCACTCGTTGTAGCTACCTGCCCCGAGGCAACAAACCGTTCGACCAGCAGTAGATAATGGTGCTTGTTGTTTTCAGTAGGCCTGCATCAGCATCATCGACGGGGGACGGGGGCGCTCATGAAAGGGGTGAAAGCAATGGCCCGCATTCATCCTCGCGTGCTGTTGCTGCTGCTGCCGCTGCAGCCGCCGCCGCTGCTGCTGCCGGGCGTTGGTCCCGTCGCCAACCTCCTCGCACGGCGGCATGCCGAACCGCATGCCGGGCGGGCTGGGGGGCGGGCCGGGCACGCGTTGATGTAGACCGGCAGGGCCGCGGTGATGGTGCCGTCCTCCGCTGTGTCCGTGGTGGAACGGGTGCACTTGGCGGTCGCCAAGGCGACGAGGGCCGCGCTGTCCGCGTAGTTTCGGGGGCGGGTGCAGTCCGTGGGCACGCCGCCCGGCATGCATCATGGCCATTTCTTCTCCTTCGCTCTCGCCGTGGTGGTGGTGGCGGGATCCGTGGGGGGGCAGGTGCATTTGGCGGTCGGGCATGGACACGCCGTGGCGACGAGGGCCGCGATGTCCGCGTAGGTGCGGGGGGTGCAGTCCGTGCGGAGGGCCGCGCGGCCCGGCGTGCATCGCCATTTCTTCTTCGCCTTCGCTCTCGCCGCCGTGGTGGTGGTGGCCGGGTCCGTGGTGGAACGGGTGCATTTGGTGGTCGCCATAGCGACGAGGGCCGCGCTGTCCGCGTAGGTGCGGGGGGTGCAGTCCGTGCGGAGAGCCGCGCGGCCCGGCGTGCATCGCCATTTCTTCTTCGTCTTCGCTCTCGCCGCCGTGGTGGTGGTGGCCGGGTCCGTGGTGGAACGGGTGCATTTGGTGGTCGCCATGGCGACGAGGGCCGCGCTGTCCGCGTAGGTGCGGGGGGTGCAGTCCGTGGGGAGGGCCGCGCCGCCCGGCATGCATCGCCATTTCTTCTTCGCTCTCGTCGTCGTGGTGGTGGTGACTGGGTCCGTGGTGGAGATGCCCTCCGCCGGTTTCTTCCAACGGTCCGGGAGATGGTCCGTGGGTAGGGCTTGGCGGGCGGCGGTGATCACGGCAAGCAGGACGCCTTCCAGAACTGTGGCCATGACGGTGCGGCGGAGGGCCATGCGGAGGCGGGTCACTAGGCCTACCCATACCTCCGCCGCGGTGGTGGTGGCCACGACCTCCAGGGCGACCGTGCTGCTGGTGAGGAGGACCACCCCGCCTGCCCAATCGCCGAAGCTCTTCGCGTTGCACCAGCCCGAGCTTGACTAGGCGTTCAGGTCCTACGCCCAGCGCACGGAGCAATGGCCTGGTTTCGCGGGGCCGGAGCTGGACGCCTACGGCTACAAAGACCGCCTGGATGGGGTGCTTGCTGGCTCTGGCCTCGAAGCCGATGCTGTTTTGGGTGACGATGTTGTCGTTCCCCGTGTCTCCGCCGTCGCTGCTGTTGCTGCTCAAGTCGTGCGAGAACTGATTGTTCGCCTGCTCTTCCTCGGCTTCGAATCCGCCGCTGCCGTCGGTGCTGTCCGCGTCAACGCCAGCAGTTGAATTTCCCTTCAGGAGTATCTTCGGGGCAAGTCCCTGCGCCACGAGGCGGGCGGGGCGGAGCTCAAGCAGGACCATGGTCGTCTCCAGGCCGCCCGGTGTTATGCTGGGGACACCGTGGTATTCGCGAAGGTTCCTCGCTGCGGCCTTGAACATAAGAGGGTTTGGCTCTCCTGTGCGCTTGCAGCTGGGCTTGCTCGTCACGAATTCGGTCATGCTGATGTCGTTGTTGCTGTTCATTGTGTTGCTGTTGTTGGTGGTCTTGATGCTGTCCATAACTGTGTGAGGAGGTGGGGGTAAGAGGGTGGGGACGAAGGAGGCACGAGCGGCGTAATTTCTAGAAGATCGCCGTTCCGGACGTTCTTTGGGAGTCTGGGAAACGTTCCTTGGGTACTTCAAGATTGTTTTCGAACTTCTCGAATACTACTTGTTTTTTTTAAGCACGGGCATACATTCGTTTTCTTTGCGGTGAACAGCAGGGAACCCGTCACGACGTACTAGATATACCACGTCACCTCGACTTTTACAGCTAGCTGCTGTGAAGACGATGACCACAACAGCAACAACAACAACGATGACTACCGGGGAACAAAACAGAAGGAGAATGTGGAAGCAAAAAGAGGCACCAGGAGGAGTTGACCACCGTGGGATTCGAACCCACGAGTACGAATACATGACGACCTGAACGCCACCCGATAGACCACTCCGGCAGATGGTCATTTACCAAGACGACATTCACTAATCGACCAAGCTCCTGTACCAACATTGACTGAAAGAGGGCAAATCAAAAATTATGCATCCACACAAATCAACAGGGAGGGACATTTAGTAGTAAGTCATGCACCCACACCTACCTTGCATACTTTTTCAAGGACGGAAACCCTGTCTCTGTGTGTAAGGAACGAGCGTCACGAACATACGCGGCGGCCCGCTGAGGCGGGCCGCCGCTTCGCAAAGGCCCAATGCGATGCCAAGTGGGCGATGTTGGAGGAAAGATGATATGAATAGGAAGACGCGGAGGGTGTGACTCATCTTGTCCTATACCCAAAGAAATCGGGCTGTACTTACAGCTTACAACATGAAGACGGTTAATGGGCATCCTTCAACCTCCGAGGTACACGTAGAACCGAAAGAAATCGGGCTTACAACTTACAACCTCCGAGTTACGCGTAGAAGACCAAGGGAATGAGGCACTCTTGCACACCGGAGTTGCGACCGGGCAATGGTCAACATCCGATAGCAAACGCCGCAGCGTTTATAATTATACGGCGAGGTACTTACAGCATGACTCTACGAAAGGCTTGGTACCCAGAGGGTATGACTCCTCTAGCATCGACTTTGTACCCCGAGGGTGTGACTCCTCTGGTCCTATACCCGAGGTACAATATATAAAGCCTGCAGGCAAGCTACATATAGCCGCAGAGCAGAAGTAAAGAGTGAGCTACAAATTGGAAAGCAATGCGCACTCGTCTGCGGTGGGGTTTATGAACATGAAGTGGAGGTCGGACGGTGGCATTGGGACATTTTCATGTGCCAATGGTAGAAGTCTGCGCAATAGTCGTCGAACAGAGCTTCGAAATGTTCGTTGTCGGCGATCTGCGCGTGGAGTGTCTCGTAGCGGCGGTAGTCTTCGGCGGTGGCGTCGAAGTTCTCGGCGTCGATGATCATGGAGTCATAGGATTGAGGGGTTCCCATACTCCTTGCGTCATCCTGGAGACAATAATGGAGATGGAGAGGAAGTTAAGAAACCGGATGAGTAGTGTTGGGAATGTTCGTCGTGTATTAGGTGTATGGCGGATGGATCAGCATGGCTTGGATCGGGCAGGTGGCTGGCGTTGAAGACGGTGTTGATTTGAATGTTGTATCGCAAAGTTGCTGCAACTATTTCTGGTTGACCTAAATACGCTGTTGGTGAGACATGATGCTTAGGTATTGGTCGTATGATGCATACCTACGGGGTTGTTGTCCGAGGATGTTGAGGTATTCGGTATTAATTCCTGTTGAAATAGCAGTTTGAAAGGTTGGGTTGTTTAGGTTGTCGCTCATGTATTGGACGATTTCGGAGCGCACTAGTATTCCTCGACGAGCGCTTGAAACCGCTGGTGTTCCTCGAGTTGGGGGTCGAATGACATGATGGGCATCAAACCTGTAGAGACGCGGGGAGAGGATGTGGATGAGGTGTTAAAACGCAGGAAGAGTAGTGACGGGAATGCGCATTGTAGAGAAGTTGAATAGAGGATGGGTCGCTGTCGGTTGGTTGTGGCAGTTGTGATTGTGATAGGGAAACGTGGATAGGGATATTGTATCGGCGTCTGGCAGCAAAAATTTCAGGTTCGCCGAGGTATGCTCTGGGGTCGGACATGATTTGGAGGTAGTCGTCATACGATGAGTAAAGCCTAGGAGGCTCCCCGAGGATGTGCAGGTATTCTGAGGCAATTCCTGGAGAAATAGCATTCTGAAAATCAGGATCGTTCCGATTGTCGCTTATGAAGTGCAGCACTTCAGAGCGTACTTGTAGGTGTCTATCAGGATCGCCGTATATGTGCCTAGATATGGCGCGGAACCCGCATGCGCCATCGCCGATTTCGGGGACAACCGACCAAACGTTTGGCGGTGGTGGCGGCGGAGGATATTGGGTCTGGATTTGGGTGGAATTTGTGTCACCGGATGGAGGAGGAGTTTGACCAGTGGCGGCATGCGTGAACGGAGCATACACGCAGTTTTGTACGTGAGCGACATTGTTCAAAACATGATCAGGTGGCACGAGAATCATGACGGAATGCCTATTCCTCGCTCTTGAGAGCGCAACATACAGCTGGCCGTGAGAAAAGCAATCGGAACGCAGATCAAGACCTATTCGCGACAAAGTCTGTCCTTGAGCCTTATTAATCGTGAGTGAATATGCCAGGCGAATCGGGTACTGCACACGGTTAAAGGTGATGCCATTTCGACCTACTTGTGCATGGAAAGAAATACGAGGGATGAGGACGATGGTGTTGGTCTCATCTAATAATTGCACTTTGATTACACGAGAATTTGGGGAAACATCTCGAATGACAACTTTCTGGCCGTTAACGAGGCCTTCTGAAAAGTTCAGATTTCTTATTAGCATTGCAAGAGAATCTGACTGCAGTTCTAGACGATGGGGGGGAACACCGGGGACGTCAATGTTATTGAGGTTCTCTGTTGAGCAGAAGGCGGTGGCTGAAGAATTGTTGTGATCTTTAATGAGTGTGTCTGAACTAGAGAAGGTAACGTGGTTGCCGTTGCGACGCGAAGAAATGTCGTCGTTGCATGAGTCGATTGAAATGTTAGTAGTAGCTAATATAGCACGGTGATTGAGACGAGTGGCGTCCTCTTGGATGTCGGGATAGACAAAGTTTATCAAGTCATTGAAATCGGTAGTATACTGCAAGGAGAATTTATCGGAAGTTGAAGAGTCGCGATTTGAGAGGGGGACGAGTTTTGCCCCATCTTCAAAGGTGTTTGTAGGCTGAGTGTCCTCGCCAATGGAACGCACGAAAGCAGCGTATGCGGGATCTTCTCTGTCACGTTGGGAAATGGTTAAACGCATACGTTTTGTCTTTGACCATAGGTCGCTGGAAATGAAGGATGCTTCAACAGTGTCAGCAGCGGACCCAAATGGCACGACGGGCCCACACTGACGCCAGTCGCCTGAAAAGCATATGGTGATTCCACCATATAAGGACTGCGAGCCTCTGATGTCGCGTAATGAACGTTCTAGAGCTTCGATACAGAATCGGTGCGTCATAGGGAGTTCGTCGAAAATAATGAGGTCGCATTTGCGAATGAGTTCGGCACGCTGGGATTCGTTGCTAATGTCACACATGGCGCCATCAACAACGCGCTCGTTCAATGGGAGTTTAAACATGGAATGGGCGGTCCAACCGCCGGGAAGTTGTAGGGCGGCGATGCCTGTAGAAGCTACGATCAAAACAGTAAAACGTTGTCCTCTTAAACGTGCAGCAATAACTTTTTCTGTGTGAGATTTGCCGGTGCCAGCGGGTGCATCAATCATGAAGGGCTGTGGATGTTTGTTCCTGACGGCGTCAACAACCGCTGTGTAAACGTCACGTTGCTCGGATGTTAAGCCATGCTCATATTTATCAGCGTATTACGCAGTTTGTTCTGAAGTGTTAAATGAAGCGATCATGCGTTGGTACTCGGTTTGATGGTGTCTAGGGGCCGGGAGGCCGAGTTGTACATTTGTCTTGCCGTGTTGATGCAACTTGAGGTCAATAATACGCAGTGCTTGTTCGCACGCATCGGTGTTGTCCATCGTACGCGTGAAATCATCTATGAGGTGATCTTTGTAATCATTCCATAATTTGGACGCGGGGCCGCCATCTAAAATAAGAGTAACAACGAGTCCGCGTAGCTGAGACGGCATTTCGAACGTGATTGCCTCCTCCATGCATATAAAATATTCTTCTTGTCCAGTGACGTACCCTTGCGCTCTTGCGGCATCGTGAAATGTAGGGTGTTCGATGGTGACATTGGCAGGAGTGGTGACGGTTCGCAAATCAGTGTAAGATCTACCTGGTGTTTTGTGGAGGAGGAGGCGGAGATAAAAGAGGTCGCCGACAGTGGGAGACGCAAACTTGATGCGACAGACCTGTGACTTTTTTCTGGCAGAGACGGTGTTACCGTACAAATCCAACCATTTGCCAGGCGGAGCGGAAGGTGGAATGGGGTCGTCTTTTTCCTTTCGTGCAATGGTGTACATCTCGAAATAGTCAAGCACCGTAAGGTTGTTGAATTGGTCGTGGAGCGGACGCTTGAAGTATCTCATGAGGTCGGATACAGCTTCGTCAGCGCATTGGCGACGGACCTCGTCTGTGGCATTGGACGGATACATGACGTTGTTCTCCCCTTCTAGGTGGGCTTGAACAATGGTGACTGCGGGGTCACGACTGCGCATTTCATACCCCAACATGCGCCATGTTGCTTCGGACATAGCGAGTTTTTCTGTATTGTTCAATTTGGCTGGTTCAATTTGGCTGGTGATGCCGGCACTCGAGCTCTCGATAGATCATGACCTTTTCTGACTTTCCGTGTTGGTTTTGTGAGATGACGTCGTCACCGGATTTGTAGAGAGACCCGTCAGAGATGGCGTGGTTAACCCCGGTGCATTGGTTTTGTGCCTGATCGTGGAAGACCCCTTCAATGTGGAACGATTCTTAGCTATTGTCGATATTTTCACTGCGTGCCTAACACAGACGATCGGGAGAGGTTCGGGTGATTGTCCATTGCAATCATGGCTTTGGTTGGTTGTTCTTTTTCACTGTACGTCCGCAGACACATTCTGACAGCACTTCAGACAGCAGCTTTGTGCCCCGCCAGCTTCTTGTTCCATGCCTACCATGGTGTTTTTGTACAGACAGCACTTCAGACAGCAGTATGCTGTAGTCGGCAATCTTCCGTTTTGGTATAGATAGAGTGGGACAGGGAGGGGGTGATGCTACTGTAGTCGAACGGTGGGACGGACGTGCAGTTCAGTTTTTGGGCACGCATACGGTGCTGCAGGTATTTTTTGGTGTACCTCTTCGGGCTCTTGGACACCTTTTTCTCGTTATATGTTTGCGTGTTCTGTAGATCCTCAGATGGCTCTAGCACTTTCGTGACCACGGGC